GAGAGCGAGTGTGTCTCACACTGGCATATTCAGTGGCTCGGACCAGATGGATTCTTTGTTCCGTTGCTCAAACACACACGGCTGAAACGTGGCTGTTTTCAGCAAAAAAACCCCAAACCTGACACACAGAAAAAGCACACACACAAGCGTAAGCACACTTTATCCTGCCCACAGCAGTTTAAAACCAGGATCATGATGGCAGGCGGGGGTGTGAGTCTCTTGTCCTCTGTTGTGTTCGCATTAGTCATATGCAAATGCACATTGTGCACAAAGAAAGACACAAATCCACCATGTCTAAATCCTCAAAGAGGACTAGTGACGGCTATTTAGCTAACATGATTTATGAAGGTTTTTGACCCAGTTATTGCGTGGGCCATTTATTGTTCACTATAGGTGACTGAACAAATTGAATTTGTGTCAAAGCGTGAAATACTTCATCAAATAAAAATGAATGTTCGTATATCTGCTAGATGTTTTTTTTTTTCATTGATGTTCTTGCGATCGGGCTCCCCACCTGGAGCTATTTTCTTTTTGTAAGCACGACTATTTGACAGCTACTGTTTGTTGTTTGCGCTTGTTGAAATTGAGCTCAGTTTTAATGAGCAAAGTGTCTGTTTCAATCTGAACTTCAGTCAGGTTACATAAATAATGCACTAATACAAAACATTTGCTTTGATTAAAAAAAAAAATCCTACTTTTCACTGATGTCTACTCTCACTTTGCTTCAAAACCTGCATAACTTCTCCCATTTAATAATAGATATGCAGCCGACTTGGCTTGTTAACGTCTGAACATCGACACAAATTGATACAGTACTGATGCATAAGTAAGGTGATATTTTTCATTCAGGCTCCAATTGTATCACTTTACATGTTAAATGTTTGTTATGCAAACAATTCTAGGATAGTTTATTTCAATCTAGAACATCTGGCTGCACACCGACTCACTCACTTCCCAGAACTCAATAGGATTAAAAATCATTGGCTAATACTTCACTGTCCCACACAACTGCAATTACATGTGATTAGAGTTCATCTTCAGATTTTTGTTTGTTTTTATTTGTAGCCAAAAATATTAATTAATTTCATTAGGATGCTTGTCATTCTCAATGAGGTTTTATCTAATTAAAAGGCCAACAATTTTTTTTTCCCCTGGTTTTACTCAGCAAAAATGAACATTGCTTATATTCTAAAATTACAATTAATAAATCAGTAACAGAGACTCTGGACCTTGATTTATTACATTTATAAAACACATCTGTCCACAGAAAGAAATGTGCCACTCTAACTTCTCAGTCATTATGGAAAAGAACAAAACGTTCACAGAGAGGAAATATGGGGGAAAAAAACCCCCACAAGATCACAAACAAGATATTATGTGACAAATGTTAGTGTGATAATTCACTAATGACAAATGCATAAATTGACCCACATTACCCCTTTGGTCTGGAGCTCCATGGAAGAAAATCCCTCATAGTGTGAGGATGAACATGAGAAAGTTCAGGGATTAGCCCAGGTTAACAGGCTGTTCCACAAGGGACAGTAATCTTCCGGTTCCCTGCTACAGAAGACACATTTATAGATCAGTGGATAGAGCTGGAACTTTGAATTGCCAAGTACCACATAAGTAACCTGAAGGATTTAGAGATTCTGAAAAGAGGACTGATCCAAGACAGCACAAATGAAATCAGGGATTAAAATTTACAGTAGGCTAAATAACTTTTTACAGGAAAGCAATAATTATGAGAATAAAGATACAGAGAACCAAAATGTTTCTACTAATGAAATGAAACAGGCTGATTTAGGAAACAAAAATTGTTATAGGATGCTAAAATCAAAATGCAACATTTAAGTTTGATTAACAATTCCTCTCATCTTTGACAGTTTTACAGTGCAAAGTTCACCACAGTTCTTGGATAAATTAGAATAAATATGTACACTATGTATTTTCAGTTTTTGTCTTTAGGTCATTCACTATAATAAGTGGAATCATATGCTTGTTTTATTGGAAAGATATATTAGACATTTTCCAGATGGTATTTTTCTGTGTGATACAAAGATGCTAATAAAACACACATAATCTCTTTTATGCTGGTCCGAGACCTTAACTCAGCTAACATTTAGAATTTGATTCAATTTTGAACACCAAGACAAAAAAAACAAAACAGAAAAACTACAAACGTGAAGCATGTAAGAGGCACCCTCATGACGTCACTGCAAATAGGAGATAAATCAGAAAAATGAAAATTAGAAACATCGGAGAACATCATTATCATTAACACATAGCAGAAACATGGCAGCTAAAAATTTAACACAACAAACTAACCAGTGACGATTTAAAATACACCAATGACCAAAAGAACCATAAATACCATAAATAATGCTCTTCCACCTTCACAGTACTAGTGCACTTCTTTCAAATAGCGAAATTTGCATGATCTCTCTGGTCATGCATAGATTCTCTCCATGTTTTCCTGCTAACTACCTAACTTAATCTGGACTAGTATATCTTCCTAATTTTGAGTGGTTATTCAAGAATCTACTTACCTCTTAGAGATTAACTAGGAATGATCTGGAGAATGTTTTGAGAGGAGACTGATGTTTGGGATTCTCCAGTCACCCCCCGGAACCTGATCATGGATGATTAATGGATGCAGGAGTGAACGTTTCCTGATGCCATCAGTGTAAAAATTATTTTTCAAGAAATAATAAAATTCATATGTTGTGATTTTTGCGATGAATTTGCTCAAAAAAATAAGTTCACAAACACAACACCTAATCCTGAAATTTATACATTGTCTTATATTGTAAAAAAAAAAAAAAAAAAATCAATAAAAAAATCACAGTTATTAATAAAGAGTTCAGGAAAAAAAAGAATACAGAAGAAAGCAGGAAACGATGGATATAATGGCAAAGAATCAACTCTGTTCAGCATTTTGGCATTTTCAAATGCTTTGCGTGACATGAGGCCGCCGTCCTCCCTGGTTGATTTGGGAAAGAGTGTTCAAACATTTCTGACAGGAAGAAGTCAGTGACCTTTAAGCTGGAAATGCTCTGCTGGTGTTGCATCCTCGCTGTCGCTTTTCATCAGTACCAGAGGTGCAGAGCCGAGACACATCCTTTAGTGGAGGTGAGTATGAAATGCCAGTCTGTCAGCTCTGTCTGAGCTTCGCAGCACATCGTGCTGCGAGCAGCAGACGCTTTCCTAATCAGCTCTCTGATCAGTTCAGTTTCATCCAGCCTTCACTGAAACTGGATGGGTTTTATTTTTTCTAAATTTTAGTGAAAAAAAAAAAAGCTGAATTTTTCAATTGATTTTTGATGTGATGCCCTTTCAAAAATCCTTTAACATCACTGAATCATTTAACCTGTGAATGAGCTCGAATGAATTTAATCGACGACAGGACATATTTCCTACGGGGTGGTTTCATGAAATATTGCTTTCATGACTAATTAATAAGTGGCCTGACTATCTGGAAACTGCCAGTAATAATATCAGGAATTTCTCTGCATTATTCATTGCTGTCTGACCCCAGTCTGGCAATAAAAGGCAATATGAGAGCATCAATCAGTTTTACATTAGGATGTTTCATAAAGGAGTGCAGAAGGTTAGATCTAATGAGTTTTCTTTTTTTTCTCCTCCTACTGGGAAGCAATTAATAAAGCTGAATAATTCCCATAATAATATACATGACTGATGTTTCATCTAAGTTTTCATAAGGTGGATTTGTATGAGCTAACATCTGCAGCCCCAGTGAGAAGTTTACTTGCAAATTCATTTCGAACTTTTATTTTCTGGTTGACTAAACAACTAACAAATTCAATTTAAAAAAATAATTTAAAAAAACTAGGTGCATAACTTTAAACTTACATTGGGTTTTCTCTAACTTCTGAAGGGTGTAAATTAAAAACAAAGGCCATAATTCAAATATAAACATATACCACCACCGAAATTTGGTTAAAATGCCTTTTGATAAGTCGTAGAATGACCAAAAGCGTTTTGTTGCAGCTCATTTAAATAGAAAGGTTTCCATTGAGGACCCTAACTTTTAAACACAGGTTGCAAATTCTCAATAGTTTTAAGATTGAAACCATACGGGGAATTAATGTTTGCTTGCTTTCAAAACCAGTGCAACAGTCGATTTGCTTTGTCCAGTTCGCACACCCAGTGATGTCAAAGTTTCAGCCAAAACTGTCAAGGTGAGACTTTGTAACTACGGTCATGTATGTTGGTGGTAGCATCAGGGTGCTAGCAGTGGTACGGGTACATCGCACAAAGTGGGAGGAAAAATAAAGGACACTTACTTCCAAACTCCACCTTAACTCAACAGAGTGAAAACACAACAGGGTGTTTCAACAAAGTAATAATCAGAAGCTTACGCAAAACTGGTCTGAGAATGGAAAACTGAGATTCTCAAAGTCCAGACCTCCACTTGACTGAATCCACAATTAGTTATAACAATACACTTTATTTGAGAAATAATAAGAATACAGCGATAATACTGTAGGCTTTTCCGGTTTTAAAAATGTTACTTTTGTTTTATACTGCAATGCATTCTGGGTAAATGACGTACACCTGGTCCAATTGTGCTAGCTCCGTCTGGTTAGAATAATGATGTGCGACGTCTTTGAGCTTTTTTCAAACTGAAAAGGCTTTGAAACGTTATAAATCTCAAGAGGAAATGAAGATGAGGAGGACCAAACGGAGGAAGAGGATAGAGTCGACCGAAGAAGCTGGTGTTTGTGCTGTTGCTGCCACCTTCAGCTTCATAAATTAACACCTTATTGTGCTCAAGTTTAAATCACTGTGAGGAAACCAGGCAGTTAAAAAAATAATTCCTACCAAATTTCAAGGAGGAAAGAGGTCAAATTGTGAAATAGCCAGCAACAAGGCAACAGAAAGGTGTGGGCAACTTGCTAAGAAGGGCACACACAACTTGAGAGTGCAAAATGTACAAAAGATCAAACTGATAAAAGAGAATAGAATTTTATTTTCTGTGTTGCCTTATCAGACACTACATCAACCACAACAATCTACTATAATTAAATAATTCAGATCCAACATTCTCATTCACAAGTGGTTAAGTGATACATATAAATATATAAGTGGTTTCTGCAGGTGTTGGTGAGAAGCAAGTATCTTTAGATGTGGTTATGCAAATCTTGCCTGCAGACTGCAGGAGTACACACATCTGGTGACAAGGTAAGCATTAAAGATCCTCAAGTTTCCCCTGAAAATAAATAAGGAATCTAAAACATTTTTATCCACATATTTTATGTATGTAAAACTCATCACAGCCTCATGAAGCTGCTAGTCTGGCAATACTTTTCTTGCCCACAGTGCACAACAAATTACTATAATAAAGGTAAAGTACCATAACGGTTGGTAGAACTACATAATACAGCTCTTACATTCAATGAACTTACCGTTTACTTTCTAAAACTTTCCAGAAGCTTGCCAGGTAATTCAAGGGAATTTTACAGGAACATACCGGACACTTTCCCCAAAACCTATAAAGTACTTACCAGAAACGTAGATGCTACTTTCCAGAGCAGGCCAGAAGCCTTTCCTGGAAAATACCTAATAGCTAGATAACTAGTAAAGTAGAAAAGGTGTAAGTTAGGTGAAAATACCTAAAAGAAGTAACCAACAGGTCTCAAAACTTGGTGATGATCTCCAAAATGTAACCTCAAAGTATCACTTAGGAAAATAACCAGTTCATTTAAAGAAACTTCCAGGAAAGTGACCTCCAGAGGGCTGTTTCACAAAAGTAGGATTACAAAATCCGGGATAACAGATAAAGTCAGGCTTGACGTAACGCCATCAGCTTTTGTGAAACCGAATTTAAGCTTAGTTAAGCCAGGGCATCTGAAAACTGCTGGCTTAAACCGCAATCCAGGTTTTGTGAAACAATCCTCAGGTTCTGAGGACAGGCTTAAGCAAACGGACGAAACAAACAAGAAACACATATAGGCCAACAGTGTAGAGAATACATACAAGGCTCTTCTTCAACAAAAGTTAATAGTAAAGAATTTAAAAGTGATGAGGAATTCAGATGTTCTAAAAATTCTTAAAACAACAAGTAAAAAGTACCACCATTTGAATGCTGCTGGCTTATGATGAATAAATATTGTGAAAGGTGAGTAAACTGCTGTTCAATCAGCATGATGAAGAGATTGAATCAAGGCATGCATGGCACTTTCCTGTTGAGTCTGATGGTTAGAAATGTTACTTAACATTAAGAACTGTGAAAATCAAACTTATATTTTGTTCACCGTTTGGGTTTTTGATGTTTATAACCATGTGTGTCATTAGTGGCCTACGGGGCTTTTATTGTAGTCTGAGCAACCGCCGTGATGTTCTCTGTTCCAACGAAGTTTCATAAGCTACATGAGCAATGGTAAACAAACAAAAAGTGGCTGATAGTGAAGCAATGTCTGATACGAGTCTATTTTTTAAGTGACGCCACTCAGAACTTGCTGAGGGATGGCAGTGCCCCCGCCTTCACAAGCACAGCTGAGAGCAGGTCCGCCGGCCCCGTCGGGTGAAGTACTGTAGTGGGAGAAGGGTCTGCGTGTTTATTGTCGGAGTTTGTCGGTGCAGGAATCTTTAGAGTGGATTTGCCAGTCCCACTCCCTCCACCTCCACCCATACTGGTCCTGCTGTTTTCCAGTGTGGGGATAATGGTGCCCAGCGGAGGGTTACCCAGTGCAGGAGACTCACATGGCTCCATGCTGGTTTGAGAGCAACAGAGTAAGTTATAGAAAGCTCCTCTCATCTCCCTGCTGGACAGAGTGTATATCAGAGGGTTGAGGGCAGAATTGAGAACAGCCAGGGCAATGAACCAGTCCACCTTGTAAAGCACCTCGCACCTTTGCGGGCTGCAACCGACATCAAGCAGGAGCAGAACGAACAAGGGGGTCCAGCAAACGACAAAAACCCCAAGAACAATCACAACCGTCCGCAGCAGGACCAGAGAGCAGTCTGAGGGCCGGCTGCTCACCCTGCGGCCGCTGGAGGTCACCAGACGGTAAATTCTTATGTAGAGAATGATGATAGCAACCAGCAGCGCGCTGAACACACTAATGCAGAAGGCAATGTAACTTTCAGCGTACAATGGCAGAACTGTGGAGCAGGAATCCAGATTGTTCAGGCAGTTCCAGCCCAGACTGGGCAGGGCCCCGAGCAGCACAGACACAACCCAGCATGCTGCCAACATTACCAGGAGTCTTCCTCGTCCGGTTGTTTCATTGGGCCGCAGACGCACCATTGTCATGTGCCTCTCAATGCCGATGGCCAGGAGACTGAAGGTGGAGGCGCTGAGAGCCACAAACATGCTTCCCTCTCTGGCCAGCCATTGCTCTGGCGTCAGGTAGAAGGTCTTACTCCCCGAGGTAAAGATATTTACCACATAGGCCACACCGGCCAGAAGGTCAGACAACGCCAGGTTTCCAATGAGCAGGTACATTCGGCTGTGGAAGCGCTTATTCCTCCAGATAGCGAGCAGAACCATGATGTTCTCCAGAATGATGAGCATGCAGATGATTAACAGCAACACCGTCTTGCAGACGCCCCCGTCACGAGGTCGGTCCAACTTCCCCGAGTGGTTGTAGTGGTTGATGATGACAGTGTTCATCCCCTCTTTGATAACATTCTCCATCCTTACTTTCCCAGTCCTGAATCTTCCTCAGCCACACAGCAGAGGGCGTCACAGCACTGGAAACAGGAGCTGCTCACCCTGGAAATGTCACATCAGCCATCACACACAAACCTGTCAAACAGGCCAAAATTAGTCATAAAACAGTATTATTATTATTATTATTATTATTATTATTTTGACAATATCTTGTTTATTAAACATGTCCATTTAAGTAAAGAAAGTTTGTCAATAAACCTCTTCAGACCTGATGTTTTCCTAGTGAGACAAAACATCTTTACTCCATCTTAATCATAACTGGGAAACCTATCTCGTGTTTTTACGTGTTTTTCTGATATCCATTGTAATGGACACTATGACTACAAGATGTCATTAAAATGTAAGTAGCAAAATCTATACTTTTCACATAGATTTCATGTCATAACTAATAAGGTGGGAGCTCGACCTTTGAAACTGAATGTCTGTACAATGTCAGAATGGAGCATAAAGAATTCAAAATCTAGTTTTGCTTTCATTAATGTATGACTGAACGTTCGAATGCACTGGCATCCTTTTCTGTACAGTATAGCTGAAAATGTAACAATGGATTACACAGTTATCAAAGCATCAGCTTTCTGGGTATTTTCATGTAATCTCTAACTTTTGAAGAGAAACCTTGAAGCACTTTCAGAGTGGCGCGAAGCACAGGTGGATTTTACATCTGTTGCAGTAGAAGTGTGTTTTTCCTGTACAGTGTGGCTTCCGGCATCTGGTGGGCACTGAATTTTTTCCCCCCAGATTCTGTGTGGTTCAGACTGACTATTTGATCCAGCAGGACAACATCACCCATTGATTCACCTTACAGACTGAACAGCTCTCGATGAGAAATAAGCCATTGCCCAAAAAACTGGGCAATGGCTTATTTCCTAAATCCACGCACCGTATATTAATTATCTCTCCATATTGGGTCAAGGCAGTTTGAGAGTTTATACTTCATCACTGAAAAAATAAAATAGAACAAAATAATTCTTAAATCCCAAATTGGCCATAAAATGTCCAACATATATACATTTTTTGGTGCACTGAATAACAAAGCATTTAATAACATGATCAAACTCCTGATGTCCACTGGGATGGACATTCAACAATTTACCTTCTATAGTACTTGAAGGTACTTTGTAAAACATTTCTACAATAAATACTTCAAATTATACTGAGCGCAATTTTTCTATAACACAATTTGAATTGACATTTTTGATGGAAACCAGATACTCACTCCTCTCTTCTCTAGTTTCATAAAAAGCTCCTCTTCTGCCTGAAGCCCAGTAGTGTCAAGTTAAGAGCCAGAACTTTTGTTTTTGTTTAAGAATCCAATTGGTGAAAAGTATCATTCAAGTTATACATGTATTTTTTTTCTTGGTTTAAGTCCAGAAAAATAACATATCCATTCAACTGGATGTGCAGCATGAAGGGAATAATTTAACAACAAAAAAAGTGCATTACTGCTGCAGGACTGTTATATTATAACCAATACAAGTTAGGTGTGAGAGACAACACGAAAATCTAAACAGTCGGATCTAAAAAGCTGAAAAAGGAGATACAAGCAGCATCAATTGTCCTCATTTTGTTATATATATGTTACGTTACATTAACCTAATAAATTGTTCTTGAAACTAAATTAAGGTTTTTCTCTTGGGCAGATAATAGTCACACATCACAGCATATGAACATGTATTTATTCCACCATCAGGCTTTACTGTTCGGGAGCAGCCTCACCTTTCTAAATGACTTGGTTTCTTTTGAACATCGCAGCAGAGCAGCGAGATCTGCAGATCGTCTGCAGTGAACGTTCAGACGTGGTTCGGTCCAAAGTGAAGTCAAAAGTCCGCGTTCTGATCTCGTGCGCGCACAAGCGTCGTGGAGCTCATTGTTATCCTGAAAAGATCCAGAGTGAGTCCTCTTGTCGAAGTTTTCTGTTTCCCTTTTTGCGCACAGTGACTTCTCAGTCCGGATAACTCCGCTCACCACCACCACCCTCCTCCTCCTCCTCCTCCTCCTCCTCCTCCTCAGCTCCAGCTGAGGCGGGATATTCCCTGAAACGTTTATTCCTCTCAGTTGTGAGGCACAAAAAACACTGTGCTTGTCAGAGTGAACTGTTTTGGAAGACGTGTGCCAAACTCTGGTTGCATATTTGGATTTTCAAAGTCACGGTGAATTTGACTCATTCGGTTTGGTTCTTGAAACAAAAGTTGCTCGAATAAGTTTTCATTTGCTCAGTTCAACCAGGGAGCAGGTCACTTATTATATCGTGGAATTGGCACCATACTTGTCCCAACACATGTCAGTTCACTGCCCTGCGGGGATTTTGCGCTCTGGTAATTTCGGTCTGAAGAACTTTATATAGCCAATAATTTCATCTGTTTGTTGTGCTTCTCTGTTGCAACTTCATTTTTATTATTATTTTTTTTTTTACCTTCGTGTCAGTGGATTCATAAATTATTCATAAAATTTTGCGGCAGTTATAATATTGCAGGCAATGTGGCTCTCTGCCCAGGGTGGAATGACCTGGAGGGTTTCTACCATTCTGATCATATGAGTATATTATTCATAAGCTGCTGCAACAGAAAACAGGTTTATGCATTTACTGAAGCTGACCTTCAAATTTTGGATTGAATCATTTTAGACCTAATTTAATGAGCTTGACTTTTCTCAAACTTGTCTAAAGGGTTATTAGTATCCTACAATAAATGTAGATTTCTTTAAAGGTTTATGAATAGTTGTGCCTTTATCCTATTTTAAATAATTAATACAACATTTTTGATTTATCAAACATTTTAACAAGAGCCAGATTAAACCAGAATTTAAAAGTGCCCCAAGTAAAAAAAAAAAATTAAACTGTCCTTTCTTAATTTTTGAATGAGCTTGCATTCACTCAGAAAGTCAAAAACTCAACTCAAATGAAAAGCAAATTGTCAGTAAAGCTTAAATAATGTAACATTTAAGAGGAGGCAAATTTATGAAATACAAATATTTTTCCTGACCATGTTTTTCTTTACATTCAGCATATTTCTCTTGTCTCCTCCAAGAGTTTTATCTTTTCAACTCATAACCTAAGAAGTTGGAATCCATGTTTTTTTTTTTTTTTTTTTTTTTTTTGTCTGTGATACGATGAGTCATTGTTTTGTTTTTTGTTTAAATAAAAGATTTCTTGGTCCCTTTGGTACTTTATAGTGTGAGATAGGTCTGACCTCTTGCATTGAAGCCAACTGGAAAGCATGGGAGGAGATGAGTTATTCCTTTTTTTGTCCTTTTATGTACTTTTTGAGACAAAAATTATCTGTAAAAAACAGGGGGGAAGATAGCAGGTCACCGGTGTCATGGTTTGAAAGTTTTGCTGTGGATTCACTAAGCAGTCTGTTGAAAAGAGGATGATGCTGATATTTATCAAACTGTAAAGATATGAATAACTGCAGCTTGATTTGAGGTGTAGTGAACATCTGAAGATGTAGAGTGAAAGATTAGAGGCGGTTAAGTACTGAAATAACTAAATAATGGGAGGAATAACTCTTACATGTTGGTTGGTTGAGTAGTAGCTCTAGTTGTGGTTACTTAGGATCTTAATGTGGGAGCAAATCGTTTGTTGGTAAGTTGTCACACTGATAACTAATCTCAGTGGTGGTGTAATGTTAGAGAGTAGCAGGAGATAACTGGAGGTAAGCCAAGTTTTGCTAAGATGAGAGATAGATCCTTGTGGGAGTTGAACCAGTTCCAACTCCCATAACTCCCAGTCTGACTTATTGTAGAATGAAGTTGAGTTGAGAAGGAGCAACAAGGAGTAACTGGAAGCATCCATCCATCCATTTTCTGAGCACCCATCTCCCTAATGGGGTCGGGAGTTGCTGGTGCCCATCTCCAGCTGCGTTCTGGGCGAGAGGCGGGGTACACCCTGGACAGGCCGCCAGTCTGTCGCAGGTAACTGGAAGCATTATGACAAGAATTCCTACTGGTCTTCATAGGCAGTGACTTGTTGACATACTTGATAGCTGGTGTTTGAATCCCTCCAGTTGGGGAAATTAAATTCATGGGGTGGGAAGATGTAAAAAAAAAAAAAAAGAAAAAAAAAAAGGAAGAGACAAATGGTGCGTTTGTCAACTGTCAGCAGGAAAATCACCTTTAAAAAGAAAAAGTGATACTGAGGGAGTTTTCCTCTTAAACGGAGGTCAAAACATTCATTGGGGCCATAAGATCACAGAGCACCTATCAGAACAGTCAAAGTTCACTACATGATCACTGCCAACATGAATGTGAAATGAACATCTAAAATATACACACGCAAAATCACACAAAAACCAGGCGTTTTATCAGATTTGTCCGATTTGTTGAGTTCAGAAACACATTTAATATGTGAACGAAGCAACTCAGTTTTAGTGAAGGGGTGTCGCCATGTTGATCACACCATTGGAAAAAATGAGGAAACCAGGCCTGCTTTCAGTTTCCTCACCAGGAAACAAAAGATGTCCTGCCAGAGAGGATAGACTCATTATAACCGATCTGATGACCAAACATGGAGAAGCAGCATTCAGCTTCTATGAACCACAAACCTGGAACAAACTTCCAGAAAACTGCATCTAGATTAAAAACCCAGCTGTTTAGAGTTGCTTTTGAAACATAATCATGAAACATTAAAAAAATAACCTCTTGTGTAATGACGGCAAAATGCAATGTTGCTGACTGTGTGTTCTATGACTTTGTATTTTTGTGGTTTTATGATGTGAAGCACTTTGAAATGCCTTTTTGCTGAGCACTGCAACACAAATAAGACTTGATTTGATTTGATAATTTCATGAAACCATTTGCCCATGAACACTAACCCTTGTGATGAAAACACAAACATGAAATGGAAGAGAAAAAGGATCACGTCTATATTTCAGTGCTTATGGCCTGTTATTGTCAAACCAGTTAGAGTGCAACCATTGCAACATATAAAACCTTTCCAACTTCCTGTCATCATTTTTAAAATACTCAGACCATTTGACAGCATTTGCAGACAGGAAGGTTCTCTCAGTCTAAACATAAACCACAAGTCTTTTTAAAGAAATCACATTTTCAACATTTGTTCTGCTCCAATGTGTCTGGAACAATCTGCTTTTGAAGAACAAATTGGACGCTTTAGTCATGCCTGAAAAAAGAATTGTAATTCTGAACTTGTACATTTTGATCAAATTTGAGCTGGAATGACAGCAGCCGCATGATAAAAAGCATCAGAAAAAGCATCAGAAAAAGCACAAAATAAAACTTCCTAAACTCACAGATGGTGGCTCTGATAACTCGTGTTGCCTGAGAAAACAAAGCTAAGAAAATGCTGCAATCCATATATGAGTTGTTTGGAAACAGTGAGAAAGGTTTATTTACTTTTTTGTGTTTCTACTCCTAACAAGTGTTTATATTTTTTTAGCTTGTCCATCAATTTTATTTTTTCTCTTTGTTTTTGCTTCATTGAAAAGAGCTTGTGATGGATGACAGTGCTGATTCATATCAGATGTAACAAATATTGATGAAAAATTTAGCGAGGATGGTGAGAGCAAAAAAAATGAGCAGGAAACTTAAGAGCTGGCAGGTTTTTCTGCCCTCTTCTTCCATGTGGCATCGCACTTTGAAGGGTCCCAGGCAGCTTAGCCCACCAAAGTCAGGCTGGTGCTGATTAATGAACAACCCTCAGGGCTGTTGACCTAACCCTGAGCAGCAAGAGATGTGCAGACACTCTGACAGCCCATTTATAACAGCATAAAAACACCACCAAAGCCTCAAATGTATTTTTTTAGGAGCTGGACCCAGAACTTCTGGATGTTTGATGCTCAGTTAAAAAAAAAATAAATAAATAAATAAAAGATGGACCTGAGGAGGGGAAAACTGGCCTTGTATTGATGTTTCTGTATTAATATCCTGTACTGTACATGTGTGCATATGAGCTGCAGGACTGAGAGGCAGGGCATGCTGACGCACACTCTAATGGTGAGTAAGATGTTCAGGAATGCAAAGTGCAGTGGGAAAAGAACAAGAACTGTGGTAAATGGAAAAGGAAGGCCTCAACCCTCACCCATCTCCTGATTTTTACCCTAAGCATTAAAAAAATGGTGGTGCATCAGCCCTCAGACACACAGAAACATCTTAAATGCACTTTTTAAGGGATGACGGACCAATTTGGACTACATGTACCCACCATCCTTTATATTTTAGATGTACCCTTGCACCAGCACACCTGAATCAAATGAATGCATTGCTTCCTCAGCGTACAATTAAGTGCTCCAGCAGCCTGGTAATCACTCAGCTGGGACAAAGAACTTAATTGATGGAGACATGTTTTGTCCTTTGCCTCTAATGACATATTGGAGGTTGTGGGACAAACACGAAGCCTAAGAACATCATATTGTGAGGGTGACTTTCTGAACCCACTGGTAAATGGCATTGTGAGGAAAAAACATTATTGCAGCAACAGCTTATCATATTAATTTCAAATTAGCTCTAAGACAACAAAGTCGGCGTTTTGGAGTGATCATTACGAAGCTCTGATTCATGCACAACTTGAGTAGAGCAGAAAAGATGTGTGTGTGCAAACCTGACTCAGACGCTGAGGTTCTGGAAGGAAGAATGGACCAAAATTTCCAAATTTAAAGAAAGTGAAAAAGAAATCTACAAGTGCTTTTGTTTCATAAATCATTACCTTGTTAAGGTTTAGAAAACAGAAATGATAGTAATCATCTTAACCAACCTAAAACACAAAGGATCATTGTAACGCAATGTCAGCCAGGAAGAAGAAAATATCTATTTGTCTTCTTACTAAACCTTCATAAATATCAGGTTTCAACTGTACATTTATCTATCTGGAGAAATGTTTCGAAGTCTCGGAAAAGTAATTTGTTAAAAATGTTGCAAACTCAAAAGAAACAAAACAAAACATCAAGCCTTTGTGTAAA